TCTCTCCAAAATGGTGGAGTAGCAGAAAGTGCTTATACGGGCCAAATGGATAATCAATAGTGCAGAATGATTTTCATATGAAGTAGAATTAAGTAGAAGTCTGGAAAAAAGAGAACATGGGTTGAAAGAGATTTGGTAGAGTTTTGAAGGCCATGAGTGGCATTGCGAAGGTGACTGTAGACTATTCGCTACCTCTTCTAACCTAGAAAAGGAAGCATCAAAGAAGCAAACCTCAAATCAAACATAAGAAGTTATGTCTGGAGGCTTTCTTTTTTTTTGCCTGAGAATACAAGGGAAGCTGTAAGTATAGGTGGGCTCAAGTTACAGTGAGTGATTTCACAGAAGAGGAATCTATTGAGATTATGTAGAATTTACATATAATTTGCATAAAAATCTATTCAAACTCAGAATGTATCTGATCTGAAAGTAAGTGAAGGCTTAGAGAGTACTAAGAGAACTATCACATAAACTTGCTCTCTTCTTTCTCTCCCCTGGACATCTCTTATAGCCATTCCTGAATGGGCAATGATCAGACCCAGAATGATCGTAAAACCTCTGCCATTATTACGGCAGTATCTTCATTTTATGGTGATGATGACAGTGAGTGAGAAGTCCTCCTTTAGAAGAATATGGTTAGTCCCATGAACACATATTTAATGACAAACATTTTAGGGTTTTGAGGCCATGTGGCAAAATTTATTGGGTAGTTATCTCTTCAAACAATTTGCAGGAAGAGATTATCCTAAAATAACACTTAGGCAATCTACCTAGGTCACAATAGAAAAAAAATTAAAATTAAAAACAGTTACAAGTAAAACAGATCCTATTTTCAGGTCAGAAATTTGTGAATAATTTTATCATTTGTAAAATGTATTTTTCTGCATTAATTAAAAAAGGTAGGGAAAGACTAATCATCATTATTTAACCAGTTTTTGCCTTAAAGAAAGAGCTATGAATTCCACATAGAAACTGAAGTCAGAGTATTCCTTTTCCAAAAAAGCTTACAAACACCAACCTTGCCTGTAAGTCCCTTGTTAGAACTGCACATCTCCTCAATTGTTCAGCTATCCAGTTTTGAGACACAGTGTTGCACAATATATTAAAAAGACAAGTGAAGTTCTAATTGGCTATCCATTCAAATGAATGCAGTTTTCATTTATGTGTATATCAGTCCAAAATCTGTTAATCTACTTGTGCAAAAAAAAGCCCCTTTCTCGATGGCTGGTACAAAACGAACGAATGGTTGGAACGAAATCCAACAAAATTTGTATGAGGACCTTTGCAAACATCACCAGGCTGTTCTTCTAGTGCACAATTCTTCTCATTATCTTGATTTTCCAAGATAAATATTACATTATGTATTAAATAACGACAGTAATCAAAAGCCGATGAAGAGCAAACCCTATTTTGCACCCTTATTTCCAGGAGGAGGATGGGGAAAAAAAAGGATCACTGACACCACTCAAATTGTTTTTTTTCAGCCCAGACTGAAGTTTCTGAGATGTTCTACATCTGCGAACAGAAAAGGATCCAAAGAAAATAGAAAACAAACAAATAGACATTCAAAATATTGAAAGGTTGTGTAAAATTAGATCTGGCAGAAACAACAGATTTTCGCAAGGCAGTTTCTGATTTTTTGTGAACACCATTATTCTCCTACATGTCTGTATACATGAACGTGTAGTAAAGTCAAACACTTATATGCAACAGTCATTATAGAACGATTACTTTTTTCCATTTTTGCCACATTTCTATATATAAATTCACATTATATTAATTTATATTATAGTTAAACTATGCATACAAAAAATACCTTTTCCAGTTAAGTTAGCATAGGTCTTGCCTTTCTGTTTATTTAAGAGCAAGCTTCCTGGCCAAATCTGTGCTTACCCTTGTGCACTGTATTTTTTAAAAAAGAACAAAAGCAGCAGATTGAAGGTGATTCCTACCCTACTTGTTGCAATCTCCAGTTCTTTAACCTTGTCTCACAGCTGAAGGTTAGGTTGACCCATGTGATTCTCAGCAAAACAAGTGGTGGTGGTGGTGGGGAATCTAAGGAGATTTTTGTGATAAACCTTGTTCAATTCTATTTTTGAGAAAGTAATCATCTCTCCCAGTAGGATGATGGCTGAAAACTGCATAAGCTTACACAAATATACAGTGCTGTGTCATTTTTGGTTTAGTAAAAGTAATTCACGTGCAGGGTACTGAACACAGGGAAAGTTATGGAAAACATTTCCCACCCAAGGACAGATTACTAGATGTGCTAAGACTTATGGGAACAATCAAAGGTGGTCAAGGCTCTTCTGTGGGGCCTTATTAAGTTAGGCTGTGATCCAGCACCTTCAACTTATTAAGCTGCCGAGAGTTTCAGTGATTAAAACCAGAGAAAGGTCACTCACAGACCTTCAGAATTTCCCTGGACTGGTATTTTCTTTTAGGCCTTAGGCCCTAATGAAGACACTTCACTCAATATGTGGATTTTTTTAAATTGGTCTTTTGAGCTGGATTTGTCCATAGCTTGAGAAAATCTTCAATAGATTTTGCTTCCTCAGAACTCTGCATACAGTTATCAAAAATCCCAACCAATAGCAAGAGATGAGGCCTTATAAGATGGCTTTGCATATCATCACCGCAGAGATCAAAGGAACAGGTTAATGAGGATCTGGAGAAGTTTAATTATGTCCTAGGTAAGGAACGGGGGTTAGTGGCTGTAGGTGGGACCATTATAAATAAGCTTTCAAAGCTCTGTTAGATGGAGTCTAATGTTTGTAAAAGGTATGATAAAACTAGTATTTCTTATGGATTTAAGGTTACCAAAATCAACCTGCTAGTCCTAAAAAGACATGTAGCAGGAACAGACATGATGTGCTCCAGGTACAAGTGATGTCAGTGTAATTTTCTGAGTCCTTTTCAGGTGGGTTAAACATTATTGTTTCATCTACAGAAACACATATACAACTGTTTAAAAATCTTTAATACTACTGTGAAGTGTTGTTTAACTCAGTCTTTTCATCTTTTGATATCTGATGTGGTTAAAAAGTTAGAACTCTCTTCATCATCTGTATTTTTTTTCCTTTTCTTTGATGCTACCTATATTGGTTATAATGGCATATTTAGAGTCGACTGGTACTTCTGCAACAACACATATCTTGTCCTCACAAGCTTTTAATGCAGCTGTAGCGATACGTTCTGGAAGACTGGCACATGGTGCCTTGTGCTTATTTTACAATATTAATGTATTAAATTCAGGCTGGCATTTCTCATGTTACACAAGATAAGGAAGGAAGCTTTTATACCATTTGCAAACTAACAAACAAAAAGTACCACACCCTTACAAAACAGAACATGTTAACGTTCATTGCCGTTTGGTACACTCTTTTATTTTGTTTTTAAAAACTGTTGAGTATTAAGCGTTCCAAGATCATTGGGACCATCTCTGTAACAATTTTTAATATAGCTTTTTAAATAAATATAACAATATTCGTTATTGTAGGGTGGATCAGTATAAAACTAGAAAGACATTTACTCAAATTTTACCACTCAGGATGAGAAAGTACTTAATCTTATTATTTAAAATAAAATGTACATTTCTACCATCTCTAGATGATTCTGTTCTCGTGTTATAACTCTACTTTTTACTCCAGGAATTCTAGGACCTCCACAGGGGTGATCCCACAGGTCACATATGACTGCACAAGATCATATGGAAATTATGGGGCTGGGAGGGAAGAAAGCACCTGAGAGCAGTGGTCATGTTTGTTGTGGAGCATCACATCAGGTGGATGCTCCTGCCAAAATGTTTTTGGGGTGGCATCTGTCACATTGAAGTGATGACAGAAGGAACTGGATTTTATTCTTTTTATGTATCTCCCTGTTAGCTCATTGTCGTGGGTTTACTCTGACTGGATTCAAACCCCTGAAAAAGTGCTAAAAGATGAGAGAGGTTCACAACAGGCTAGACAGACTCGATGTGAGGAATAATACTAAAATTTATTGCTAACAGAATAGAAACTAAATAATAAAATACAACCACCCTTTGGCCACCTGCATCAATGCAGGAGGAGAAACTCTCAGTGTGATAGCTAAGGTCTTTTTTCATCGGGGTGTGGGGGATCTCTGCACCCCCCAAGGTCCTTTCAAAGGCTGCAGGGGGACAACTCACTTCACCATGATCTTCCCCACAGGTTACAGGGAGTTAGAGCTCTGAGTCTTTCATCCCTGTTTTGTGGGGTCCCTCCAGGGGAATAAGCTCTTGGAGGATCCCTCCAAGTTGGGTCCACTCCTCCCCCGGGTTGCAGGTTCTGGGGTTCATCTCAGTCTTTATACTCCGATAGTTTTCATCAGAGTCCCACCCAGAATAAACCTGCTCAACGCAGCTGCTCTCTCTCTCGCTCTGAGTTGCAGATTTGAGCGGCGGCAGTAGCTCTGTTGGCTGTGCTTCTCCTATCCGCTCTGCTCTGTACCATGCTCTGCTGCCGTTCCAGGCCCACTCTGGGCCACTCCTGACCGTGCACTGCTGCCGCTCCAGGCAGCTTTTCTCTTACTCTCTGGAATTTCTTCTGAGCTCTGCTGCATGTCTTGGCCAGGGGCCTGGCCCTGGCCGCAGCTGGCCGCTCCGGGCCATCGCCGCCACCCCCACTCACACTGGGCGAGGCACCCCAGCCCTGGCCACAGCACCCAGCCCAGCTCTAGTGCTGCGCCAGGGCCCCCCAGGCCTGGGCCGGGAGGGGGGGCCTGGCCCCTCAGGCCAGCCAGCTCTCTCTCTCTCTCTGTCACCTTCTTGGTTCTAATTTCTTCTGCACGACAAGGCTTCTCTTCCGGCCTCTTAAATATGAAATTCGCAGAGGTGTTACTAAAGCTTTCGATTGGTTCTTCCTTGGGTCAGAACCAGGAAGTCAAGTCCACCCCTGGAATTAACCATCTTCAGTTCCAGAGCGCTAGTAAACCCATCATGACACTCATGAAACAGCTCTTCAAGGAATGAAGATTTGCAGTTGATGCAATCATGTTTTGAGTTGAAATCTCACATGTAACACCCAGTTGTATTTTGTTCTTTTTTATTGAGTTTTTTACTGACTTTAGAGAACTATTTCAGGTGTTTTAAAGCTGAGCTTCAGTTTTAATTTATAATGCATATAATCTATGAAAACTGTCGTATCTTGCAGTGCACACTGTGAATTAGAAAACTAAAGGCCTTTGCCACTACAAAGTTGGTAAGGACAATGTGCCATTTTGTCCAGTGTTTGGCCACAAAATTTCAGTAAATTTTCTGGCCTTTCGTGGAACTACAGGATACTCTGTCAAATTTGGCTAATTATCCAATAAGTTACATCGAGTTAAATAACATGGCTACTGAAATGTGAATAGCTTCCTTTTTATGGAAAGACCTTGGTTCACACCATTCTATGTCAGTGTTAGAGATTGGAATGACCCTTTCACAGCTGTTTGGCCTGATAAATAAAAAGAATAAAAGAATGGACAAACAAATACTACCTGCCTAATAGCCGAGAGTAGGTTTTTCAAAACCGATTATGCTGTTTAATAAATAGTTTTCATTTTCCTAAGGAGATTCTGGGTCCCTTGTTATAAGATTTATTTTCAGGCAGGTAATCAAAAATCTTCCTTCTTTTAAAGCTGTGATCTTCTTGTGCAAACTAATCTTTTTTTTTTTAAAGAAAAATATTACAACCCACTATTATAGCTGAAGGTCTTGAGCCTCTGAAACAAACAGATGGACATAAGAAAGTCAACGTAAAGTTTGACTTGCGGTTTCAGTGAGCTTACTGACTATTTAATATGACAGGAAACCTATTATAAGTAGTTCTAACTTTACAGAAAATCCTACAAAGGTCTTTTGCAATAAGTAAATGAAGTTGAAATGTCATGGCAATGGCTTGAAGAATAACTGGAGAAAGATATCACTGAGATATGTAATAAACAAAAAGGGAGAAAATACCTTCCAGAATGACTAAAGCAGCTTCTTGTGTATTTGTGCAGGACCTAGAAACAGCAGACTAAAGGGTAATCAGGGGAAACTAGGGAAAACATTACTCTTTCTCTGGCTGATCTGAAGGTAGGTTTTTTTAGAGGCTATGACTTCACTGGTGATTCAAAGTAGGATTGCAAATATGGTAACATATGCAGAATACATTAATTTTTCTCAGCAGGTTGCAAAATACAATGGGTATTGGGGTTTGCCTTGTGAAGGAGATAGTCTACAATCTACAAAGCATCTTGGAGGAAAAAGATCAAATTCAAAAGAACTTGGAACCTACATCTACAATACTTTTCTATCTCATTACGAAGGAAAGCCAATATATCCAACACATATATAATGAAATTATTTACGGACTATGTTTTTTTTGGTTTCCAAGAAAGCTACTGTCTTTTCAGTCCTGTTTCATAACAAGTGCATCCTGGAATTACATTCATTAAAATAGAAATGGAATTCTGCTAGTTTTTTTGTACTATACCATGGTGGGCTTTTTTGGGAGGGGAATGCAACAAAGAAAAGATATGTTTCTGACATTGAATTCTTTTCTAACCAAATACCTTCCTTGAGAACCAAACATTTCAAGTGTTAGAGGAAATATTAAAATGGAGATTCTTTTAGCTTTGAGACAAGATCAAGCAGCCTTATATCAAATAGCTGCTTGTAATATAGGCTTATGAGGGTGTTAGAGTAGTTATTATTCATACTTTAATTAACTCAACTTCCAGCTGTGAGTACATACAGGATATTTCCTTACCAGGTACAGCTCCCCACTGAAGTGCTTGCCCACCCAATTCTGATAACTAGTAGCCATGGTGGTATTTAAGGCAGCTATTTTCCTTTGTCTTTTAAAACTTATGTTTACTGTGGTGTTTAGTGATCATATGAAAGACTTGTGACACAAGCTACAGACTGCTGTTGCCATTGAGCTGGGAAGGGGCTCTGTGTATTCTATTTAATGTTATAACGGATGCCTTAGTAACTTGAATTTGTCTTCAGATGCTCTGCTTAACCAAATAATGGGGTAATAATTTGGGGTGCAGCAGAGAGAAAAAAATTCCTCTAATCAAATTAAAATTGCTGCCTGCCTTTAAAAATTATTTAACTTTTTAAAGATCATCATCATGGCTAGGCTTCGCGAACGAAGATTTGGGAAGGCTCTATCCACATTTGCTACAGGCACGCTGGTGGCTTATGAGGCCAATACGTGACAGACATATCCGATTGCAAAAGGCACAACAGAAAGATTCCTTAGGTGGTGCCTTTTGCAATTTACGGTTCTTTCTGTGTTGCCTTTTTACCTCGAGAGTGATCCTGCGTGTGTTCTCGAAGGAGACAGCAGCGTTATAGATGGTGTGTCTCCAGGCCTCCCGATTTGAGGCCAGAGTAGACCAGTTATGGTGATCAATATGGCCAAGGCTGAGATGTTGTTTCAGGGAGTCCTTGTATCTTTTCTTCGGGGCTCCTCTCATGCGGCAGCCGGTGGTAAGTTCACCATAGAGCAGGATCTTAGGGAGGCGGTGGTCCTTCATCCTTGAGACGTGCCCTGCCCATCGCAGCTGCTTTCTCAGTAACATGGCCTCAATACTTGTGACATCTGCTTGCTCTAGGACAGATGTATTGGTCACATAATCTGACCAGTGGATGTTTAAGATTGAACAGAGGCAGCGTTGATGGAAGCGCTCTAGGAGACGTAGGTGGTGGCGGTAGATGACCCAAGATGGGGAAGGTGGCACAGAGGGCACAGACTGTTCCTGACTGTCACTGATGTCGCCCTGGGATCACAAGTTCATTTCCGTGCCTGAGCATGAGGGTTTGGTACTAAACTCTGGTGAAGTACTGTGAGCCAATGGATAAAAATCACTTTGCAAGATATCCAACTGAGCACTGACTTTTAAAAGATAAACCACTATGAATCACCTACTGCTGACAGATGTATTTCCTATTTCTTATACTGCCTATTGTCATGGTTAAAGTAGATTCTTGTATTTTGTTCCTTTTTTTTCCAACGTTATTTTGGAGAGATTGTCTCTTTAAGAAGTAATTTCCCACCCCCTCACTTGCTGGGGGTGGGTGGGGAGGAAAGGGAAAAGCACCAGATGGAAACAGAACCCTCATCTTTCTGGGGACCATGCTTTCTGCTGCTGGCAGAGTCCATGTGGATCACCACCACAATAATTCATCATATGAGTTTTCACAAATCCCCAGTGATTTGCAAGGACACAGCTTTTCTCTGATGTGCCACTGTACTTTCACAATTAATAATATGCTCTTTCTATTTCAGAGAAAACTTTTCAGGTCTTCTTCAAATAATTTTTGAGAAAGTATGTTTAGTTGTTACCGTTTGCAGAGATAGGAATATAGTTTTACGTATGAAACATTATGTTCAAGTTTAATTCCTTGAAGTGTGCTGCTTCAAGGAATTCAATGCAAAATCAAGCTTTCATTACTCAGATGCTGCTTTTGAAATAGACCAAATTGTCTGTTCCTTTTAAAGGCTGCTGGATGTTCACCCCTTGAAGAGATCTCACATGTGTTTATTGTATAAAGTTCTTTTTTACCATACCAGGTCTGCACATGAGAGCCATTTGGGAGCTTAGGAAGATAAATCTGGGGCTCTGTTCTGCAGGGGAGGTAAGTATTTTGCAAACACTCTTTCTCTTTCCAGAGCCATTCTGTTTTCTATACCCATTGTTGGCAGGTTGCTCTAAGAGGTGAAATTTGGAATTTGTGTTTGAAAGCTTGTGTGCCCACAGCGCTGAGGAAGAGTTGAGGGTGGAATGACTAGAAGGTACATAATAGAAAAAGTCCCAGATGGCACAGTTTTTTGTGTTGATCTTAATAGCATAATGCTACTATGTTTTAACAGGACTTCTCCGTAACTTGTGCATAAGGACCAAAGCCCTTACTCTGGCCAAGGGCCTCCAGTAGTTCGCATGGAAGGACTGCAGAGATGCTGCATGTTGTGAACAAAGTTGAGTGGCTGAAACCCAGCTGAACATGCAAGGTGCTCATGGAAATGTTCTGTTTAGCCTACCACAAAGGAAGTGGAAACACTCCTCATTTGCAGTTCTGCACTTCCAAAGTACATTTGTTGACATTGGGTGCAGGTAGAGGCTGCTTTCGTTTGCTCTGATTTTTATGGTTAATTTAGAGCCTGAGAAAAGTGCACCATTTCCTGTGCATTTGGTGTTTGCAGCAAGGGAACTCACACTAGCCCAGTTAGATATTGCATTTGTCACCATGCAGGCAAATACCCTGTGATACCTTAAGGTCCTTTTAGTTTTTTGATTTTTCTAATTTTTATAAGTTTTATAAGTAGTTATATAGAAGTAGATTTAGAGGCAGCAGCCCTTATTCTCTTACCCTTAGCATAGTAACTACAACCCTCTTACCCCGATTTCCCATATCCCTGAATATCCCATATTCCCTGAATTCCATTAGAAATGTTTAGTCTCTTGTCAAGGTAGGCCTATTCTGTTCAGAGAAGACTTGTACTTTGGCCTAAACCGCAGAGTACAGTCAAAAACTGGGTGAATGTGTGCCCTTTGTGCTCTGAAGAAGATGAAGACAGATGAAGAGGTGGTCTCAAAAGACCCCATCCCCAGTTCTCAAGGGGCATGACTGAGGGTGGTCCAGGGCAAAAGCCAGAGAGTGGGAAAACCTTGGATTGGACAGGCAGTGTTATAAATTGTAATGTCTGAGACACGGGGGACACGCGCATCTTGTAACCGAATTAAATCCTTTTCTTATCTCCAATTAAATTGCTTTGGATTTTTTTTTTTCCTCAGTTCCTTTAGTCATCACCTGTATTAAAAAAAATATTTTTAAAAAGATGCAATTTTCCTTGGACAGTTGTCTGGTCTGCCTCTTATTTATGCACCAGTCTGTTTAGTATGCAGGGGGGGCACAGTGCCACACTGATTTTTAACCCTAGTGGAAAAAACACACAAGTTGACTATGGGCCTCGAGGGAGTACAGATCTTTAATGGCAAGTTGAGTGTAAAATGTGGTCTCTGGAAGAAAGGTCACCACATTTGCACAACCCCCTTGAGTCAGGCTTAGAGCCCTGTCTGCCTTCAACTAAAGAGACGTTTTCCTGTATCTTGAGGTTGCTTTGCTTTGAGGTGTAGGGAGCACATAACAGAATTAGGGGAACTGAGTGATGTTTGTTCATGTTTGTCTGCACTCTGTATCCTAAGAGAAGACTTTTGAGAAGCCAAATCAATACTACAACCATGTCCGGTGCAGCTGCTCTGTTGTTTCGGTATGTTACAATAATGAATTGAATTCTCACAACAACAGGCATAATAAGTGCTGCTCAGCCCTTGGTATTCAATCACCTTTAACTGGTTGTATCTTTCTAAACCCCACTGTCAACTAGAATTATACAGAAACCCACCACAGACCTTTTGTGGCCCTCAGATGAAAAATGCAGAAGCAGGATGCTTTTCAAAGCCATAGGTCTATGATGTCCTTCTTCTTCAGGCAAAACCACTTCCCCTTTTTTCTTGAAACCTTGGCATAAATCATTCAGAATCTGAAAACCAGGATATTTTCCAGCAGGAGGGTCTTTTAGCTTAATATCAACCTCTTGTATCTGACCACCTTCTTGTTTTCACACTTTTTTTCATGCACTTTGGATTTTCTGAGTCATGATTCTCTGTGCAGAAAGGGGTAAAGCATAAGAACATCAGTTCATTGGTGACTGTGGATGATATGAACTATCTAATATCACTCTGACATTTTAAGTTTTAATTCAAATTGCCAGACTTTTAAGCAGCTACCACAGCAAAAATGGGTGTTGATGGGGGTGAGCTATCAATTCTGCAGCACAGCTTTCTCCTTGGCACTGGTGCTTTGAATTCCACAGGAAATGCCCTTGAGACAGGCAGCCATGGGCACAGAAAGCAAATCATTGCCTGTGGAAAATGAAGACAACATAGCAAAACAGCAGCGAGTCTTGAGAAGAAGTCAGGTCTAAAAATTTGCAGATAATGGATGGGACTCAAAGCTGTAGCTTGGCTCACCTTGGTGGGAGAAGTATAGGATGAACTCTTAATGGGCTTTTCACACTTATTTTAGCCTAAACTTCACTTGAGAAAAAATTGAGACGAAAATTTTGGCTTTCCCAACACATAGTTGAATTTTGAGGCTCAAGCAGCTTTTTAGCATCAGTCCCTAAAAAGGGGTTTCTCCCTCTTGTAGTCATCTGGGTTTGAACATGCAGAAAGCTGAAACGATGTTGCAACAAAATTTTCCTGGTTTAGAGAGGAGAAACTGAGGTAGAAATCCATGCAAAGACTTGCAAAATGATCCAACAATTAGCAGTGCAAAAGAAGGAGCATTAATTTTCTCTCTGCCAAATCCACACAATCATTTTTTACCCTTATTTTTCATTGCTCAAATAATCAAAATTTGCACTGCCTTCATTGGCCTGCTAGAGGAGTGACACTGTGACACTGAGAACCTTGGGGCTTTATTTTCCTTTTAGAACTACAATGTTATGTATAAAAAAAAGAAGGAGGAAAAAACAAAAGACATCTTCCTGGCTAAAATATTCTGCTGTGTCAAGGGTAGAAAAACCAAACTTAGCTTTTAAAATAAAAATAGTGTCATATCCAATTTCCCTTCCTACCTCTGTCTAAATTCTGAAGTGTTTTGAAGTAGCAGAGCTTTGCAGCTGCAGAATATCAGCACTGTTTTCAAACATGTGGTAATATTTTTCCACACACATAAAAGTGACCCAACCCTAACAGTGAACCATACTGTTTCAAAAATAACATTAACTTTGACAACTTCTTTAGCTATTTTGTTTGATGTTAAACTCAAGAGTACTGACTTTTCCTGAAACTTGAAAAGAGCACTATGCTTTTCCTCATCCCAGCTGATATGATTAAGTGGTTTTTACTACAGCCAGTAACCAACAGGACAAACTGGGGTTTTGAGCCACATTCCCAAACCGTCTATATTCCTCTGAATTAACACCTAGAAAAATGCTTGTGATGGACACAAATCCATTTTTATGATACATCATTTAAAAGGCTTTACTCCTTTTAGTGCAGCTTATTAAAGGCAGACATGTTAGCCCTGTTTCACCCTGACTAACATCAGTGGCAAATTCCAATTGATTTTGCTTGGGAACAGGTTTGGGCCTTTCATTGTCAAAGATTTCTTTTGAGAGCTGACATTTGCATGGAATCCTTCTTCCCTACAAAGCATTTTATTACAAATTACCATGATTAACTCTAAACAGAACAGGCGTCTTTTAAAAACTGCCTTTTTTCACAGTCAATTTATTCTACTTAATACTTAAAAATTAATATCATTCATGGGAGGTAAGCAGGACCAAACTAGAGAGTCAGAGAATTACTACTTTTTATTGGTTCTCAAAATAATGATTTTTTTTTGCCTGTTACTAACCTAAGACAAACTACGTTCCGTTTGATTAATTAATGATAGGAAGCACAAGGAAACCATGCAAAAATTTAAACTGTGCTTTGAAATGACAAATATTTGTCTTTTTGATATTCCTCAGTACAAGTATGAAACAGAATTTATTGAAGTTCAGCAGCTGTATAAAAATCTTCTATAGCAAGAACACAGAAATGATTTAATAAGTTCTATGAAAAGTCAATTTGCATGACATCAGCACCTAGCCTATAACGGGTGATAATGGATTGTTGGCTTGATTTTATACTACTTGACATCAGATTACAATACACTGAATAAATGTTAACCTATAATCCCTTTAGTAAAAGCTGGCATTGTTTGTCTTCTCTTGTAGAGACATTGATTTTCTTTTATTGGATGCTCAAGTGCTGCACCTCAGATTGATTACTTTGAATTAAATGTGCAGAGAACATTTTTATTATTCTAAACCAGGAGTCTTAACATTAAATGGATGCCTCACCCCCTGCCACACTGCTAAAAGTGTGCTCTACCATTTAATTTGGATTTCTTTCATTTTCTCGTTTCTTTTCAAGGCTTCTGAGATGCTGACCCCTGCTCTGACCCTATGCCCCTTGACCCTAACACATCTGACCAGTGATGACTCTGAGGGTGGCAAATTAATAGCAGCATTGCTTGTTAATTGCATAAGAGAAAAGCCAAAAATTCATCACCTCAGTCATGGCCATTGCTTCCCTTTGACCCCCATCTCCCACAAGGCTTTTGCTGATGGTCACATCTGTGGTTTTTCTATATCCTACATATTTGCCATATAATTATTCAGCATCAAACCTTATTAATCAAATCGATGTTCTGTTTTAAATGGAAATTGCTGGATTAATACAATCATTCATTTCATCCTGAAAATCTTGATGGCTTTAGCACATGGAAACCAATCGGAATATAAAAGAAGGGATGTAGAGACCTGATTGAATTAGGAGAGGCATGCTGCACATTAAATTACATATGCCAGCAGGAGTCCATGCTTTTATAGTAAAATACTACTGTGGAGTCTATACATATAAACCGCCTGTGATTTCTTTACACTGGGCAGTGCTCTTGCATTAAAAAGGGCTATAATAGCCATTTATATTTCTAAATACATATTTTTAATGAGATCTGGTATTTCATAAGTGTTTTATTTCAGTTGCTTTAAATATTTCTTTAAACATTGCACGTTAACAAAACAGCAAAGAAGAAGTTTTTACTTCTTACTGTTTAGTTAAATAGATCTTTGTCCTTTTCCCTACCTAACTTATTCAATTATGCATGAGTAAACAGTATAAGTAATAAAAAAAAAGAAAATAAGTTATGAGGAGCTTTGTCGGCAAGCTGTGAAAACATTGAACACCCTAAACAAACTGCAACTTACCCCATTTGGTGATTTCTGGTCTCCTTTCACATGTAGTGTAAGTTTTTAATTTCTTCCCAGTGAACCTGCTATGTAAAGAGCAGGAGTGGGAAGTTAAAAAGTGATAAAATGTAAAAAAATCCCAAACCAAACTCAACAGCATTACAGACAGACCAGTGATATTACAGACAGATTTGATGAGCAACTTGCAGTACTTTGGATGTGACTTGCATGCTTCTGAAAACTGGTGGAAGACAAGTGTTGCCATTGAAATCCATACTCTGTAAGTAAGGATTTTCTTTGACTTGCAGAGTGGGACTGATTTTTGGTTGTTTGACAGCAGGGTGTGAAGGGAAACATGAAGAGGTACTGTTAGGTCTAGTGCAAGCATTTCAAATTAAGACCAGAAGACATGGAAAGAAGAATGGGAGCTTGCTTCTTTCCTCAGTAGATTAGATCCCTACAAGTGCTCAAGTACACCAAATCATTCCAGAGATCATTGATTGCCATTATTATTTTGAGATCTGAGCACCCAGTTTTGCATAATTATCTCTGGGTAGTATGTTTTTAAATGTGGTCCTCCCTGCCATATTCTTTTTCTTGTCATGTTTTTATCCAATTAGATAAAACTCAACCCAAAGGAAGTGAGGACAATGTATTTTTATAGTCATGAAATTCTGCTCACATTGTTTTCACTAGGCTGTATCATGAGTTGGCCTGTACCAACAGGCATACTTCAGGAAATCAAAGTTTTTCCAGAACACATATTGGAAAACAAGCTCAGTTCAGAAGAAGAAACTGGAGCAGACCTCTCTTCTAGCTCAGCTTGAGCTCTACTGTATTTTGGCATCAGAGCACTGAGCAAAAGGGTGACATGCTCCCTGGATGGGAGTCATCAGTAAAGATTTCTTTATGTCCCTGGCTTCCATG